CCAGCTGGCCTCTCTCCTGAGATTCTGCTCCTGTCGTTCCTCATCCTCCTCCTCCTCCTCCTCCTCCTCCTCCTCCTCCTCCTCCTCCTCCTCCTCCTCCTCCTCCTCCTCCTCCCTCCTCTCCTCCTCCTCCTCCTCCTCCTCCTCCTCCTCCTCCTCCTCCTCCTCCTCCTCCTCCTCCCCTCCTCCTCCTCCTCCTCCTCCTCTCCTCCTCCTCCTCCTCCTCCTCCTCCTCCTCCTCCTCCTCCTCCTGTGGTCGGGTGTTTCTCGACCTGCCTCTCTCTCTTTTCCCCTGCCTTCCCTGGCTCTCGACTGCAGCGTGCTTATTCCTCAAGACTCGGCCCGTTCGGGAACGCCGTACTGCTTTCTGCCCTGCCCCATCCTTCTGTCAGGAACACGTGCGAAGACGCGCAGATTCATGCTTAGTAGCGTTGGGGGTGGGGGGAGAAAAACAACAAAAAATGCCTGGACTCCGCACTGGGCTACCCCGCGGGGTGCGCTGGCGGCCGGCGCCCTGGCGCCCTGCGTTGCCCGGAGGGCTGCTCCTCTGGCCCCCCATCCGCCGTGGGCGCCCCGCCGGCCAGCCGCGTGTCTTCGCCCACCTTGGAGCCGGCTGGGGGTCTGGGGTAGCCTTAAGTCGGGCGCGTCCCTCTACAGGAGGAATATGCTAAAATTGTCAGAAAATAGTCTGGAGACGAGTTCTGAGTATGTTTGAGGATTTCTTGATTATTGTTAGGTTTTTTCATTTCTCGTCCAAAACCCGCCTGTGGGGGGACATGCCCGACCTAGGGGTAGCCCAGCACTGGTCCTGGACAGCAGGAAGGCGGGGGAAGCTCGGGGCGCCAGGTTCGAGAGCGTTTTCTGCCACCCTCGTGCCGCCCCCTCGGCCACCGCCACCAGCATTGCTTGCGTGGCGCGCGGCTGACTGAAATTGATGTGCGGATACGGTATTCCCGCTGACAACAGGGGAACAAATGAACACACACACACACACACACACACACACACACAAACACGCACAACGAGAGCGTGGTGGTCGACCACGACGAGCACTTGTGGCCGCTGCTGCTTGCAGGCTTGGAGGCCGCCGTGCGCCTTCACCAGAGCCCGCGGGATTTCTCAATGCCAGCGCTGCGCGACCCGCTCAAGCACGTCTCGAACCTGCTCCGGCTGCACGCCCGCAGCCCGACGCTGCACGCGCCGACCGAGGCACGGCGGGGGCGAGCTGGGATCTGCTGGAGGGCCGCGGGACGTTGGCACAGACTCGGAAGCACGGCCGCCAGGCTTCACCGGGCAGCATGAAGCGCTACGCGAATGAGGCCTACCTTCAGTGGCGACGATAGGGGCTCCAATAGCCCAGGGGAGAGCTATACATGTATTCAGGTGCGCCGACGATCTATGTCTTCGAAAAGGCTCCCGTGCGAGTACGTGTAATGCCCGCCCCTGGACTATTCGCCCCTATCGTCGACGCCGATACCTGCAAGACGCGATGACACAAGACTGGGTCTTCGTCGTCGGCCGTCTCGCGCATGCCAACCTGCTAGAGACTGTCGAGTTGGGGCCTGGCGTCCAGCAGCAGCCGCGCCGCGGCAGCTGCTGCCCGCGCCCATGCAGGCGCTGATCGGGTCCAAGCTGCCGTTGCGCCACCAGCTCAGGTCAGGCGCCATCTGGAGGCCCTCCTCGCTCGCGGGTTGAAAGCCGCCCGCGTGAGAGGGTTTTGGAGTTGTCCTGGAACTTTTCGCGGGATCGGGGAAGGTAGCCGAGGCCCTGAGGGCCGCTGGTATTGCCGCCCTTTCCCTGGACGTCCTGCATGGCCCACGTGAGGATCACCTCGAATGTTCTTTTGAAAGTTGATCTCGGGATGGTTCAAGAACGGCCTCGTCCTCGGCATTTTTCTCGGGACCCCGCGCACCACGTGGACGCGGGCTCTCAGGAGGCCTCTCCGTGTCACGCCCTCGCCCACGGGCTTGCCCGACCGCGGCGAAGGCGAGCTGGCCCGCCTCAGGATTGGCAGCGCAACTTTCAGCTTCTCACGCAGAATTGCATCACTCGCTCGTGATACCGGGGTGCCCGTTCGGATCGAGAACCTTCGGGCTCCTCTCCGCTGGTCTGCGCCCAGGCTCGCAACGGTCGCCTCGGGCGCCGATTGAAGTCACATCGTGCACCACCTTGGCCAGTTCGCAGTCAGATGGCGAAAGGCCACCAGGATTCAGGGCTGGAACATCTCGCGCGCAAGTGCAATGGCAGAGCGGAATTTGCTATCGATCTGTGCTTCCGCATATAGAAGTGCCAGGCACAGCGCCAGGTGGTCGGACCAGCTCGGCGGTGGAATATCCCCCCCCTTCGCCGCCGCCGCTGCCGCTGCCCTCGCCCCCCTGGTCTGAGCGGCTCCACGGGCTGCGTCTGGCCGAAATTATTTGTGAATAGCTCGTGGTTCTGCGCTATCTTCGAACCCCCATAGGGGCTCCGGCCTGAAGGCCAGACGACCCGCTTGGGAAATGGGTTTCGCGTTGGCGGGCGTCTCAGAAGCGTTCGGACGCCGAACTTTGAACTCGCGGTATTGCAGACGCTACTCGAGCGCGCACACTGGAAAGATGATCTTGTTAGCTGACGCTGTTCGGCCGCCTAGAGCGCCCGCACTTGCTGTTATATTCTGTCACCGCGAAGCGAGGAGGGGCGGCGGGCAGGCGGCCGCGCCGCCCTCTTCGCGGCCGCACTGCTCAAGCTTCGACCTTCTCTCCCGACATTTTTCTTCTCGGCCCATTATGCAGATTACCTTGTGCAGGGTTTAGCGCTAGCTGATGTCTCAGAAGTGCTCGGACGCCGAGCCTCGAACGCTACTCGAGCGCGCACACTGGAAAGATGATATTGTCAGTTGACGCTGTTTGGTCGCCAAGGAGTGCCTGTACATTACTATGTAATGTATACATAACTATGAATGTGCGTATGTATGCATATGTATGAGTTTGCACATGTGTAGGTGTGTCTGTGAACGCACACGTGCGTGCACATGTACATGTACATGTACATGTGCATGCGTTTGTGCGCGGTTGCAGTTACGTTTTTGGCAGGCTGATGTGTACGATTGCGTGCATGTATATGTGCACGTATTTGGTTATGTATATGTAGATGTATATGCATGTGTACGCACAGTGCGCATGTACATTTGAATGTATAATGCATGTATATGTTTACGAATATGCATATGTACCGATAGGACCACTCTACGGATGATAAAGAAATTTGGGAGGGGAGACGGTCGATGAGCGATGATTCCCACTTGCCGCCACCAAAGTGTGCGCGGGCACATAAATACCACCTATTTCAGCTTGCCCCGATCAAACGAATCGATCTATTGTTCCATGTTTCTACCGTTCCATACCGATATTTCTATGTGTATGTCTTTTCGAGCCGTCACATCAATCAGTCGACTTATCAATCAACCAACAATTAGATACATCGATCTATCGCATCGATCCAGTAACCAGTCTATCTATCGACCTAACGATAGCGGTCGTGCTGGCGAGGCGGCAGCGACGCTGACAATGACGCCAGACTCTGCCAGCGACAGGTAGTGATGATGCCCGCGCTGCTGCTGATGGCGAGGCGGTGGCAGTGGCGGTGGCGGTGGCGGGCGGGATATGTTATTTCTCTATTGTTATATATAACTATATATATACATACATACAGATATATATATATATATATATATAAATATATATATATATATAATATATATATCGATCTATCGATATATACATAGAGAGAGAGAGAGAGAGAGAGAGAGATCGACCTTTCTATCGGGCCAACCGTCGGGGCAACCGCCAGGACAACCATCGAAACAGCAATCGGGGCAACCATCGGGACAGCCATCAGGACAACCATCGGGACAACCGTCGGGACAACCATCGGGGCAACCATCAGCGCAACCATCAGGGCAACCATCGGGACACCCATCGGGACAACCACCGGGACCTCCATCGGGACAACCATCGGGACATCCATCGGGACAACCATTGCGACAACTTTCGGAACAACCATAGGGACAACCGTCGGGGCAACCATCGGGACAACCATCGGGACAACCATCGGGACAACCATCGGGACAAACATCGGGACAACCATCGGGACAACCATGGGGGAACCCACGGGGACAACCATCGGGACAACAATCGAGACAATCATCGGGACAACCACGGGACAACCGCGGGTCGGGACAACCACGGGACAACCACGGGACAACCGCGGGACAACCACGGGGCACGCGCCCGCCCGGTTGGGGGGGCGGCGGCCCTTTGGGTTCCATGTGGCATCTACCAGCGCAAGAACTCGCGCAGCTTCGCCCCGACGCGAACCGAAACCGAAACCGATATCCTGGTTGGGGCCACTTCCGTTCACACTCCCCAATTCCTGATCTACCTCTGTTTCTACGTATCTATAATATATATATATATATATATATATATTTATATATAATATATATATATATATATATATATATATATATATATATATGTATATATATATATGGTATCCTTACAAGGGGGCCTATGCGGCCCCCCCTTCCGAAACGAGCCCGCCGTTTAAACCGCGCTTAAACCCTGCAGTCATCTCGGATTGGACCGCCCCAGCCCAAGTGCCACTGGGCTGGTGGCGAGGTGGCTGTGGCCCGCGGCCAGCCAGCGACAGCCGCAGGCTGTGCTGGCCGCTTCTCGCGGGGCCGCGGGCCGCCCACTCCCGCCGCGGCCGCTTCCTTGCACTGGGGCCGCGGCGGGCGATCGCGCCGAGGGCGCCCCTCGGTCTCGGCGCCGCTGGGAGATGGCGCGCCGGACGCGCAGGGGGGCGCCCGCATGGCCGTTCCCCCGCGGCGCCTGGTTCGACGCGCGGCCCAGGCCGTGCGACCACCTGCTGGCGCAGGTCCGCGACGGGGCCGGCCAGGCGCAGGGGGTGGAGCTGCTGGGCGTCGAGGTCGCGCACGACCAGGACTCGCACGTGGGCGACCACGCTGCCGCCGGGCGCTTCGCCCAGGGCCGGCACGCGGGCGCGAGCGACGGCTACTTCGCCTGGCACGCGCAGGCGGTCGGCCGGCAGGGCGGGCGCCCCCGCGGCACGCCCTTCCACCTCCGCGGCCGCGCGCAGGAGCGCTGCGACGCGGAGTGCCCGGCCGGCGCCGGCGGGGTCGAGCACCTCGACGTCTGGCGGCCGGTCGACGAGCTCGACCTGGAGACAGTGAAGGAGGGCCTCGTGCTGGCGCCGCAGCGGACCGGCGGCCCGCGAGTCACCGCAGGAGGAGGCTGGCCAACCCCCGCCGGCAGCGCTGCCCGCTCGGCCGACGAGAGCGGCCGCCAGCAGCCGCCGCCCCTCCCGCCGCCGCCGGGCCCGCCCCGCCGCGGAGGAACCCCCGCCGGCCAAGAGGCGCCGCGGCGGGCCCCCGGGTCCGGACCGGCGCGCGCAGGGGCCCCCAGCGGGAACCCGCTGGACGACGAGGTCGCGGACCTCGAGCGGGCCGTCGAGGACCCCGAGCTGGACGACAGGCCGGCGCAGCTGGGGCAGAGCTTGCGGGCCGGCGCCCCTGCGCCGAGCAGCCGCCCGGCAGCGAAGAACGCGGCGGCGCCGGGTGCTGCGCGGGCCCTGGCGAAGCGGGCAGTGGAGCACTCCGCCGCTGCAGCCGCCGCCGCTCGGCCGGCCGCCTCCTCTGGCCGCGATCGCCTGGCCGAGGCGTTAGCCTCAGCGCTGCTGGGCGGCGATGGCGCGGGCGAGGCCGGCGAGGACGGGGAGGTCGCGCTGGGCCGCGACGTTTACCAGGGCGCGAACGTCAAGCGCGACCTCTTCCAGAAGATCGCGCGGCAGCGGCCCGGCGTGCGGTTGGAGAGCGGGCTGGCGCACTTCAGGGGCCAGTTCACCCAGCTGCTGGCCGACGAGAGCCCCGTCGATCCGCTCGGCCCCTGCGCCACGCAGTGCCTCAACACTGTGTTCTTTGCGGCGCGCGCTGCGCACCCTCGGCGAGGCCATCGACGCAGGCATGATCCTTAGGGCGCACGTTTTTGCGTCGACCACTTCGAGGCGACCTGCGCTGGGGCCAATTGCCAATATAGCGTCGTTGAGCACAAGGATCCAGAGACTGCGCTGGGAGAGACAGCAGACGAGATTATGTTCAGGGTGTGCGAGGCCGGGGGCAATGACGAGGGGTTCTGGGCGCCAGAGTCCGAAGTGGACCCCCGAGCTGCGATCCAGTACTTCGCGGAGAAAGGCTTGGACGCGCAGCGGAGGATAACAGAGCGGAGGTTGCGGAAGAGGCGGGCGCAGGCGGACGCCCGCGAAGCCGTATCCGCAGTCATGGCCGAAGCGGCGTCGTTCTGGCACCTACTGACGCCGCAGGAGCGAGAGGACACGCTGGCCCTGCACTCTTCCTCAGGAGACTTGGCCGCTAGCTCGTGCGGAACGCACAAGGAAGGGGAGAAGGAGAGACTCCTTTCAGCCCAGACTGCTGGCGTCATGTGCGCATGCACGAGCTCTGGGATCATCACGTCGTTGCGGGAGATGGTCGGATCAGAATCTTTGTCGCGGCGATATTTTTTCGTTAGTGCGTTGAAATCGTTGTACCCAGAACTGGAACTTATCGTGCATGATGACGCGTGCCATCTGCGCAAATTCAGCGCCTCCCGTGAATCCCACTCAGCCCACGCGGCCGCCATCGCCCCCCCGCGCTTGAAGTACTGCGTGGATGAGTTTCATGCGACGGGTCACACTGACGCATGGTGTCTGGCAAACTGTCACCCAAAGAACCCGTCTCTGGCCGAACTCGTGCAAGGGTTCCGTTCCAGCGTTTGCGAGTTCACGCTTACTTGGTTGAGCCAGTACAAGCACCAGACCAAGCACATGAACCAGTTTGGCTTTTGCTTCTTTCTACTGGAGATGGCAGACGCTCACAATGAACGCGCGCGCGGGCAGGACTGACCACCTGCCGAGTGCCCGCAGGTGCGCGTCCTAGCGCCGAAGCATCGCCCCCTGGTGTATGCAGCCAAAAGGATGCAACGCGCGTGGCCTAGCCTTTTGTTGCGTGCTCACCATATCCTTACCTACTACTCGCTGAACAAGGTATTTCTGGATCCCTAGATCCCACTCTACTTTAAGCGCCTTCCGACTTCAAGTCTCTATGGCAGGTTCCTTCAAGGCTCTAGGTTTCCCCAGGGTAGGTCCCTAGGGTAGGCTTCCGAAGGGTAGGTCCCATTTAAAACCTTAGGATTCCCAAGTGTAGGCCCCAATGAAGGCCTTAGCCTTCCCAAGGGTAGGCCTAGGGGTAGGCCTAGGGGTAGCCCTGAGGTAGGCCCAGGGGTAGGCCCTGGGCTAGGCCTAGGGGTAGGCCCTAGGGGCAGGCCTGGGGGTAGGAGGCCCAGGGGTAGGCCTTAGGAGTAGTGGGCCCTGGGGGTAGGACCTACGGGTAGGCCTGGGGGTAGGACCTACGGGTAGGACTAAGGTAGGCCTAGGGGTAGGCCTTAGGGGTGGGCCTAGGGTAGGCCTACGGGTAGGCTTTAGGGGTAGGCCTTAAGGGTAGGCCTAGGGTGGGCCCTATAGGGGTGGGCCTAGGGTAGGCTTTCCCCAAGCAATCTATATGTGCCCCAGCTCCCTTTGAGTCGCCCTCTCCCGATGTCCCTCCCTGACTGCGAGGAATTTCCTTCTGCACGCCCTGCGGGCCCGCGCGGGTCCGCGCGGGCCCGCGCGAGCGGGGCCCGTCCGCGGCGCAGGGCGTGCATGGGGAAATGTTCCACGTCTGGGCGGGGGCAAAGGGGGGCCCAGAGCCGCCCCCAGCGTCCGAGCGATTCCAGGGGGCGAAACAACGGCGATATTTACGACATGGCCAACATAACCAATGATAGCTTCCACCGAATGGCAATCGCCGCACAGCGCGCACAGCATTGCTTACACCACGATGGCTTGACGTCCGCCGATCCATTTACAGCGTCGGGAGGATCGCGCTTGAAACCGTTGCACGTTTTCGCTCAACCGCCACGAAGACGGGGCAGCCCGTCCTCCTCCTCCTCCTCCTCCTCCTCCTCCCGTCCTCGTCCTCTTCGTCCTCCTCCTTCGCCTTGTCCTCCTTGTCCTCCTCCTTGTCCTCGTCCTCCTCGTCCACCTCCTCCTTCTCCTCCTCCTCCTCCGCCTCCTCCTCCTCCTCTTCCTCCTCCTCGTTCTCCCTCTGCCTCCTCCTCCTCCTCCTCCTTCTCCTGCTCCTCCTCCTCCTCCTCCTCCTCCTCCTCCTCCTCCTCCTCCTCCTCCTCCTCCTCCTCTTCCTCCTCCTCCTCCTCATCCTTTTCTTTTCCTCCTGTTGCTCCTCCTCCACCCTTCTCTTCTCCTGAGCCCACCCTGGCGGACCCGGCGGGCCCGGCGGACCCGGCGGACCCGGCGGACCCAGCGGACCTGGCGGACCCGGCGGTCCCGGCGGACCCGGCGGACCCGGCGGACCCGGCGGACCCGGCGGACCCGGCGGACCCGGCGGACCCGGCGGACCCGGCGGGCCCGGCGGACCCGGCGGACCCGGCGGACCTGGCGGACCCGGCGGACCCGGCGGACCTGGCGGACCCGGCGGACCCGGCGGACCCGGCGGACCCGGCGGACCCGGCGGACCCGGCGGGCGGACACAGTTGACACAGCTGACCCGGCGGACCCGGCGGACCCGGCGGACCCGGCGGGCGGACACAGTTGACACAGCTGACCCGGCGGACCCGGCGGACCCTACACCCAGAGAATCAAAAGTCCATCGACGGGCTGCTGCGCGGCCAGGTCGTGGAGGTCAGTGACTTGCTCATGCAGGAGTTGAAGGCCAGGACGATGGCGTTAACTGCGGGACGGCCACTGGCGCAGCGCCCGTCGGCTCACGCTGACCCCGGGCCCAGCGAGGGCATGCCGGCCGGGGCCTCGCAGGACGAAGAGGCGGCTGCCGAGCGCGTCGAGGCTCGCGAGATGAAGGTCGCGGAGCTGAGGCGGCGAGGCGAGGCCGCCGGATGCGGGCTTGGCCGGGGGCCCTCCCCAGATCGGGGGGGAGCGGCCCCTGCAGGCCACGCCCTCGCGGAAGCGAGGGCCCAGACCCCGACGGGGGCGCCTGTGGCCGGCCAATCGAGCGGGGCAGGGCCGTGGAGGCGGAGCAGGTCGCGGCCGCGCGGGCCGTCAAGGCAAGGTGCAGCTGCGGCCGTGGGCCCCGGCGGCGGGCCGCTGAGCTGCCCGCGGGAGTTGAGCGAGGGGGGGCCGCGTGGGCCCTCGGGAGATCGCGCCGCCGCGCGCCCGCTATAGCGCGCGGCGAGAGCGCGGCCCCCGCCGCGACGGCTGCCACGGGTTCGGCGCCCGGGACCGCCGCGGCGCAGGAGTCCAGCATGCGCGGGTCTGCTCAGTGCCGGCGCTGGCGGAAGCTGCCGGCGGGCGCCGGCGGCAAGGGCTGCAGCTCTCGGTTCCAGCTGGTCGTCGCTCTGCACGACGCCGCGCACGGGGCACCAGGAGACGTCGGGCGGTTCATCAGGCGCGCCCCGCCAGCACAGCGCGCGCGCCTCAGGAGAGTTCGCGAGGCGTTGCCGCCACCGATTCCCGATTCCCCCGGCTTCCTGGCGCGCCGCGCCGAGTCGCTGGACCGAGGGGAGGTGAGCGCGGCCGGCCTGGGCGCGGCCGTGACCAAGGGCTGGACGGTCTTGGTCGCGCACGCGCTGGACTATCAGCACGCGGGCCACGGCTGGGGGAGCCCAGCGCCGAGAGGGCCGCTGACCGCCGCTCAGGAGAGCTCGACGCGCGTGATCAGGGAAGCCGCTGGCTACTTCGCGCGGGGCTCGGCTCAGGAGATCGAGGTCCCCGACTGGACCGAGGTGGTTGCCACGAGGGACGTCACCTACGGCGGCGAGGAGGTGTCGCGCGCGCTGCCCCTCACGCTGGGCGGCGCGCTGCCGGGGCTGCCAGCGCGCGGCGTCGCCGCCTCAGTTCGCGCGCTCGACATCACGGACAAGCGCGTCGCGGGCTGGCTCGCTGACCCTTCGCTCGCCCTGCTGCCGAAGGCCGAGTGGCCAGAGGAGGTCCCGCGGGCTGACATCCAGGCAAGCTCGAAGGCGGAGTGGCATCGCATCGGCGCCAAGCTCGTGGAGTTAGGCCTCGCCGCGCCCATTGCCAACGAGCGGATCTTCAAGGTCGGAAACCGGAAGGTCCTCGCGGGTGCCTTCGGCGCGGCCAAGAGCAGGACGCCGACGCCCGGCCACTCAGTGGCCCAGCGGCTCATCATCAACATGGCGCCCGCGAACAGCTACCAGAGGACGACGAGGGACGACATCGGCACGCTGAGTGCCTCGCCGTCCTGGGTCGCCATCCCCCTGCTGGAGGGCCACGTCCTGCCCTGTTCGTCTGATGATCAGGCGTCGGCGTTTTACTGCTACGAGCTGCCCGATGCCCGGCAGCCCTACATGTCGACGCTCGCCGAGGCCATCCCGAACGAGCTCATCGGCATCAGCGGCCCAGGGCCCAGGGCGAACACATTGCGCTGCGCCTCATCCCGATGGGCTGGGTCCACGCAGTCACGGTATTCCAGCACTGCCACCGGCGGCTGGGGTCTGGGCTGAAGCCGCCTGCCGCGGGCTGCCCGCCGGAGGCGGAGTGGCGGAAGGACCGGCCGCTGCCGCTCAAGTCGAAGCAGCTGGAGCAGGCCTGGGCCCAGCACTGAATCGATGACTGGGACCACGGTGAGATCGCCCCAAGCAGCCGCGTGAACGACCTCGCGGGGTCCGCGAGCGCGGCGCAGGCTGAGCAGCGCGAGGCCTATACGCGCGAAGCGCCATCAGCGTCGCCCAGGGCAAGGCGAAGCACCGGGAGCTGATCCTCGAGCGGACGGGCGCCGGCGTCGACGGCGTCACGGGCCGCGTGGGGGTCACGACCGAGAAGCTGCACCTCCTGCTCGCGCTCACCATGCGGGCCATGGGCCAGCCGGAGGTCACTGTCAAGGCGATGTTCGTGGTTCTGGGCAGGTGCGTGCGCGCAGCCGAGTTTTGCCGTCCTTTCATGGGATTCCTGAATGACTGCTGGGCAGCTGGCCAGTGGGCTTACCCGCGCGCGGTCCCGACGCACATGCGTGCCGAGCTGCTGCTGTTCTGCATGGCCCTCCCCATGGCGCGCACCGACCTGCGGGCCAAGATCGACACGTGCGTGATCGCCACCGACGCGAGCGAGCAGGCCGGGGGGATCTGCTACTCCGCTGGCCTCACCGAGCGCGGCCTGATAGCAGCGCCCGGCGAAGAGGGGCTGTGCTAGGAGGGCCAGCGGCCTGACTTTCAGGCGCCGCAGACCGTCAGGCGGCGGCCGCGCGTCGTGCTCGTCGAGCTCTTCGCGCGGGCTGCTGCGGCCGCCGCGGCCGCGGCGCGGCTTCCGATGGACGCGGTAGCCCGCTTCAGCTCCGAGATAGACCCTGCTGCGCGGAGGCTGGTCCGGCGCCGCTGGCCGGGCGCGGTCGAGCTCGGCAACGTCGAGGCCATTGACTGCGAGCGCTTCGGCCGGGTCCTCGAGGGGTTTAGGCGCGACGCCGACTGGGTCGCCATCACGGCGGGTAGCCCGCGCCAGGACCTGTCTTAACTGAATGCGATCGGCAAGGGCCTCGAGGGCGAGAGGTCGAAGCCGTTCAGGAAGATCCCCGAGCTCATCGAGACTGCCGAGCGGGCGGTCGCCAGGCGCGCGGGCCAGTTCGTCGAGAACGTCTTCAGCATGGGCGTGGAGGTGAGGAGCCAGTTCGCAGAGGCGCTGGGGGTCGCCCCGCTGCTGCTGGACGCGAGGGATTTCACGCGCGCGCGGCGGCCGTGTCTATTCTGGCGCCCCTGGCTCGCTGCTGAGCACCCGCCTTTCGGCGCGGCGGTCACCGAGAAGGGCGAAGGTCTCAGCCGCCACCTGAAGGTGGAGGTCGCGATGCAGCGCGCGCCCGCCGAGCAGTGGCCGCTTGCGGGCTGGCAGCTGCCGGGCCCAGAGGTGGGCTTGCCCTGCTTCGCCCGGCCAAAACTGCGGCGCCATCCGCCACTGCGCCCGGCGGGGCTGGAGTGGGCAACAGCTGCAGCGCAGAAGCGCTGGGTCAAGGATAGCCACCGCTACCAGGCGTGCAACTACGAGGACGAGGCCCTCCTGTGGGACCGAGCCCGGGCGCAGGGTAGGCTGCCTGTCGCCGAGGAGCGCGGCGTTCCCATGGGGCTCGACCGCCGATATTTCGAGGCCGCAGTCAAGGACAGCGTTGTACCTGAAGACAGGGCTATCATTATGGAAGGTCTCATCGGAATGCCTTATGTGTCCAGTGCGTTACGCTCCTTCTTGGCTCTTGGCTGGCCCAAGTCGGAGCCCTCGCCGCGGCGCCGCCGGGAGAGCTATGCGCGCACGCCGGTGAGCGCGAGGCCAACTGGAACATCGACGCAGACTTCAAGCGGCCAGGCCTCCGGCATCCCACGGCAGAGCGGAGCCTCATCATCGAGTTCTTGCGCATCGCCGACCGCGGGGGCACGTACGTCAGGCTGGACTGCAACGCCCCGTGCCGTACAGGGCGCGCGCCTGGCCGAGGTCGGCACTGCGGACTTCGCCGTGGGCCTGGCGGATCGCCAAGAGTTTCCAGTGGCAGCGGCCAGCCCACATCTCGGAGCTAGAGCTGGAGGCCGCCGTGGCAGGAGCGAGGTGGAGGTGCCGCGACGTCGCCAAGCACCGCTGCCGCTGCCTGCACCTGCTGGATGCCCAAGCGGTTGCAGGCGTCTGCACCAAGTGCAGGTCGAGCGCGTGGCGGCTTCAGCCAGGAATCCAACGGCTCAACGCGCTCGCGACAGGTTGCTGCCCGCTGCACGGCTACTGCGACACCGACGACATGCCCGCCGATGTGCCGTCGCGCTGGGCAGGCGCGCGCGGCAGCCAAAGCGAGGAGAGTGGCAGCAAAGGCGCCGGCGCGGAGGACTGCGGCCCAGAGCCGACCCTTCCGCGAGGCGATGGAGACGCCGCTCACGCGCCAGCAGTACCAGCAGGCAGTCAACAGCGCCTTCGAAGATGGCTGTAGCAGCGGCGCGAGGTCACGACGCCAGGCCAGGCGGACGCGGGCCTCGTGGACTACATTGACGCCGCTGGGCAGCAGGGGGTTCGCTGTCTGAGGTGAACACCGCGATCGCTGGGATGTGCTACCACTTCCCCCTGCTGCGAGGCCACCTGCGGGAGAGCTGGCACTTGGCTCGGACGTGGCAGCGTCAAGAGCCAGCCGGGCGTGCGCTGCCCATTGGCCCGCTCATCGCGTTGGTGTTGTCTGGCGGTTTCGTCGTCGCGGGCTTCCTTTCGGCCGCGGCGGTGCTGCTTTCCGCGTGCGAAACCTACCTCCGGACGGGGGATATTTTGGCCCTTGAGTGGGCAGACATCACGCTGCATGAGAGCAGCGGCACGGCCATGATCAGGCTGCGCGACACCAAGAGCCAGCACCAGACAGGAGCTGGTGAGTTCGCGATGGTGCGCTCCCGATTGGCGGTGCAGCTGTTGGCGACAGCGCGCGGGCAGCGCCGCAGCTCCTCGCAGAGGCGCGAGCAATGCGAGGAGCGAGCGCTGGGCACGTCGCCAGCAGCGTTCCACCGCGTCTTCGCGGAGATCAGGTCCCTTTTGGAGCTCGACGGCCAGAAGCTGACGTTGTACAGCTGGAGGCGTGGCGGCGCGTCGGCCGACTTCCGCGCCCACGGTTCGATGGAGACGACACTCCTCAGGGGGCGCTGGGCGAGCGTCCGCGCGGCAAGGCTGTACGCACAGGACGCCGTGGCAGAGGCGACGACGCTCGACCTCTCGCCTGCCCAGCGCACCCGCTGCCTGCAGCTGGCACAGCGAGTGCAAAATCGCTCGTTGCCTGCCTGCCCTTTTTCCCTTCCCTTATCTTAACCTGCAAGAAGGACAAGGGGCGAGGAGGAGGAGCTCATTCAGGAGTTCTCGTGGAATGGAGGTTGCCAGACCCTCGCCCTCGACAGGTCTGCCCAGGCGCGGAGTGTCCTTGCGGCCTCCGGGGGTGCCCAGGCGTGCTTTTCCCGGCCGGCATCTCGCCGTGCGCAAGGGAGGGGCATGCCTGGCCCTCCGCCTGTGGGAGGCCTGTCGGGGAGGGGCCCGGGCCCCTGGCAAAGCAACTCCTGGCGGGGCGCTCAAAAAAGGGGGATTGAGCATATCTTCTTTTATATATATATATATATATATATATATATATATATACATACATACATACATACATACATACATACATACATACATACACACATATATATATACACATAGCTTTATATATGTGTGTATCCACCGTCAGGAATCCACCATCGGGCCAGCCATCGGGACAACCATCGGGAAAACCATAGGGACAACCATCGGGACAACCGTCGAGACAACCATCGGGACAACCATCGAGACAACCATCGGGACACCCATCGGGATAACCATCGGGACAACACCATCGGGACAAACATCGGGACAACCATCGGACACCCATCGGGACAACCATCGAGACAACCATCGGGACAACCATCGAGACAATCATCGGGACAACCATCGGGACAACCGGGACAACCATCGGGACAACCATCAGGACAACCATCGGGACAACCATCGGACACTCATCGGGACAACCATCGGGATAACACCATCGGGACAACACCATCGGGACAACACCATCGGGACCACCATCGGCACAACCATCGGAACAACCATCGGAACAACCGTCGGGACAACCGTCGGGACAACCATCGGGACAACTATCGGGGCAACCATCGGGACAACCATCTGGACATCCGTCGGGACAACAACCGGGCACACCATCGGGACAACCGTCGAGACAACCATCGGGATATCCATCGGGACAACCAGCGGGACAACCGTCGGGACAAACATCGGGACCACCATCAGACACCCATCGGGACAACCATCGGGACAACCATCGAGACAATCATCGGGACAACCATCGGGACAACCATCGGGACAACCATAGGGACAACCATCGGGACAACCATCGGACACTCATCGGGACAACCATCGGGACAACACCATCGGGACAACACCATCGGGACAACACCATCGGCACAACCATCGGAACAACCATCGGGACAACCATACGGACAACCGTCGGGACAACCATCGGAACAACTATCGGGGCAACCATCGGGACAACTATCGGGAGATTCGTCGGGACACACCATCGGATCAACCATCGAGACAACCATCGGGACAACACCATCGGGACAACCATCGGGACAACCGTCGGGACAAACACCATCTGGACAACCATCGGACACCCATCGGGACAACCATCGAGACAACCATCGGGACAACCACATCGGGACAACACCATGGGGACAACACCATCGGGACAACCGTCGAGACAACCATCGGGACACCCATCGGGACAACCATCGAAACAACCATCGGGACAACCATCGGGGCAACCGTCGGGACAAGCATTGGAACACCCATCGGGACAACCATCGGGACACCCATCGGGACAACCATCGGGACAACCATCGGGACAACCATCAGGACAACCATCAGGACAACCATCGGGACGACCATCGGGTACAACCATCGGGACAACCATCGGGACAACCATCAAAACAGCCATCAAGACAACCCGCGAGACAACCATCGGGAGCCGCGCCTGGCTGGGGGGTGGCCGGTGGGGGGCGGGCGACCTTTTGGGCTCCATGTGGCTTCTACAACTGCAGGAATTCGCGCAGCTTCGCCTCGCCCGGACGCACGACGCGAACCGAAAACGGAGCCGATTTCCAGGTTGGGGCCTCTTCTGTGTTTTTGTTCCACAACCTTCGATATGCGTATTATAATAAATATATATATATATATATATATATAGAGGTATATATGTGTAGGGCGATCAGGTCCCCGGACCCACAGGCGGCCCATTTTTCAAAAACGCATGGGGCCAAGGACGCCCTTGAACCCCATCAAGGAGGTTCAGCTGGGCCCGCCTCGTTGAGTTGCACGGAGACAGATCTTTCACCGACATACGCACAGAAAAATGCTTGGGCGCAAGATTGGATCCTGACTGGCCTGACTTGTTTCGGAGCACCCCCAGCTGGCCCAAGAGCGCGCTAGGAGGACCCAGACCGGATTCAGACCCAAGATAAGCCCAAAAAATTCAGGCTTGGGAGATGGCCCCAAGGGGCTCGTCCAGGAGACCAAGAGTGTTCAAGAGGGCACCCCGAGTGCTACAAGAGGGCTCCCAGACGGCCCAGGACGGCCCCAAAAGTGCAAGACGGGCCGTGCGCGAGCTCCAGGAAAGCCCAAGAAGGCCCCAAAGCAGCCCAAGACTCTTGGGCTGCTTCCAGAGCGCCTCCAGACGCCCCCGAGAGCCCAAGATCCCGCCGCCTATGATTATCACATGCTGCTTCTGCGCTGAGATGCGTTTCCAGATCGGCACAGGCTCCGTGTGTAACCTGCGCGTTGCGCAAGTATTTGCGACCGCAGGTTGTGATTGCCGAATTTTCTTCATGACAGTTGGCAGCAGCTGGCAATGCTGCTGAACAGGGGGTGGCACAAAAGGGAGTCGGCAGTGTTGTTGTCTTCCACATGCTCGGGGGATGCCATCTACGCGCCCGCGTTGATCATGGCCACGCCGCCCCTTGGCCCAGGATCAGCGTATACCTCCCTGGCCAAGCTAGTAGGGCGTACGGTCCAGTACTTCACTGCCGCAAGCAAATACGTGGCGGCAGTGCCGCCTTAAAATATCCAGGATGCGGAGTATTGAAATTGCCAGTTGTTATTTTCGCGACGGCGCCTTTGGTGAACTCTTATATGCCCTCGGTGCGCGAATCGAGATTTGGAAAGGGGCTGGCATAATACGCGATCAACAGCGAAATCAGATGCTTCGCACTGTTTGATTTGATGGTGGCGTCATAGTATGTGAGAGAGTAGGAATCTGAACACCGATCCTGGGGATTGGCCAGGCCAGGATCGGCGTTGCAACATAGTTGGCATCCTCGCACGTGCAACTTCACCCATCAGGGTCCATTTCGATCCGATCGATCCGATTCGATCTCGATTCTGGCCAGCACGATCCGATTCGATTCCGATATTCCGACGATGCGATGCGGCCCGATGCGTGCATTGCGTTGTTGTGCATCTTGGCGCAGCCGATCTGATTCAATGTCGATCCCGTACCGATGCAACCAGATCCCCAGACCCCCGACGTCATGTTTTTTCGTGACATCCACCCCCAGAGACTGGACCCATCCCCCAGGACTTTGCATCCTGAGTTGTTATTTGACGGCCCCGCGGCCTGGTAAGGGCCACAGAGGCCGAAAACAGCGAACCCCCCCCCCGTCGTGTTTTTTGTCATGACCCGAGGGGGTCTGTGTCCGATGCGGTTTTCGATTCGATTCGATTTCCCGATTCGATGTTGACCTGTCCTGCACATCTCAAAGCCCCCCAAAAGGGAGTCCGAGCAGATGGGGTCGGAGGACCACGCCGCACCGCCGATGCGTCGGCGATGCGGCTCGACGTGGAGCCCGATTTTTTCTCCGCGCCGACGTCGCCGATGCGTCGCCGATGCATCGACGAGGCGGCGCGTTCGTCCGACCCCATGTGAGCGACGCAGAACACGAAGGATTGCAAAAAAACCGAAGGATTGCAAAAAGGATTGCAAAAAAAACCCTTCGGAGGATTGCAAAAAAAACCCTCGTAGGATTGCAAAAAAACCTTCTCGAAGGATTGCAAAAAAACCCTTCGGGTTTTTTGCAATCCTTCGGGTTTTTTTGCAATCCTTCGTTCAAGGGTTTTTTTGCAATCCTTCGGTCGTCTGCGCCGACATTGGCGCGCAAGCTGCCCGCGTAAGGTCGCGCGTAGGCGCCCTCGTCTCCCACGTGGCATGCCGCGCGGGCGGCCCGCGCAGGCCGCCGCGCAAGGTCGCTGCGTCATCTCGCGCAGGGCCCGCTTTTGATCGTCGCTCTCGTGGGAGGCCTCTAGCATCGGGCCCCGACTCCGCCCCCCCTGAGATCCGACGTAGCGAAAAAATTTGCGCCCCGAGCCGCGCCCCGAGCCCCAGAGTCCGTCTTTCTGCGTCATTTTTCGAGCCGGATCGATCCGTGAGGGTCCCGGGACCCGAAAAAGTGCGAAACCGCCCGGCTCGGAAAAATTGGGTCGCCAGGATCTCAGGGCCTGTTGCAGTCGCCCGCCTCCGCGCCGCGAGAGGCGCATGGGGAAGTGGGCCATCCGCTGCGTGGCGACCCCGGGCCCCCCCGCCGCTCTGCCTGCGGATGGAGCGGGAGCGACACGGCGAAGGCATCACAGCGGAGACCCATGCCAAGAGACGCCCTGCTTGCCTTCCACGGGTGCCCTGGGTCTCTCAGGGCTCGTTTCGATTACTCCGATTCGATTCGATTCGATTTCGGTGGATTCCGATTCCGATTCGATTCGATTTCGGATTCCGATTTGGGGTCCGATTTCTTATTGGAGGCATACTAGTCTGCCGATTTCCGCCGATTCGACTTTTCCCGACTCGGCCGCCGATTTCCGCCGAGCCGATTCATTTCGATCGCCGATCCGACACATCGATTCGATTCTGGGTTCTCCTTGGGCGTCGATGGTTCTGCGAGGGAAACGTGAGGTCCCCATGCAGAACACCAGTGGGCGTCCTGGGGTCTCAGGATCGGGTTTCTGGTGGAAGGTTTCTTGTGGTCGAGCTCCTACTGTATACAACCCCAAACATGATCGCGCCGTAAAGATAAAGTATGATACAGAGTGAACAAAAAAGACGGAAGGTCTGTCGGCCTGTTCGGGCCCTGGGGGCCCTTGCCGGGCCTCGGCACCGTCAAGAGACGACTCGGGACGGAAAGCCGGTCCTGAGGAGAGGCTCGGCATTTCCGGGGACGCCGTGATGACAAAATCGGGCCGGCGAATGTCTGGGACCAGACAGCAACTGTTAGCCCGCGTGGGCCCCATATTGTAGCGACGCTTTGCCATCTCTGCGGTGCAGTCCACGTGGTGCAATCCATGTGGTGTAATCTAGGTGGCGCAATCCACAAGCCGGCCAGACCGACACTGGCTTCGAAGAGAAGCAAGAGCCAATGAGTGCAAGCATTGTTCGGGGAAGAGCGCGGCATAAGCACGACTTCTCAGAGGTCCCCGCGGATTTCTCGGACCGGCGTTGGCCCCCCCTGGCGGCGCCTCCAGCGCCGCCCCTGGCGCGTTCTGCGCGCCAGAGGGGGGGGCCAGCGCCGACCCAAGAACTCCGCGCGGGGGCCTCCGAGAAAGTGTGTCTGGATTCGGGCGAATGGGTCAGTTGCAAAGGGAGTCCCAAAAGTGTTTGCCACAGTTCTTGCAATCGTTCGTGCAGGATACGCATGTCGTGCAGTATCGGCACGTGGCTGCCACGCGCCATGCGCCACAGGATGAACTCTTGCACTAGACTTTTGCGACCCCATTACGAACGGGCCATCTTGGGCCATGTTGGACGCTCCAAACCCTCGCGAAAATTCCGTCCAGGTCCAGGGGAGGGGGGAGGGGGAAGGGGAAGAAGGGGGTTGGAAGAGGAAACGCTCTAGACCACCTACGCCCAGAGGGCTGGTTGGAGTCTTGCACTATGTTTCTGCGGCCCCATTGCGGAAGACCCCCTTTGTGCCCGGAACCAGGTGCGTCTGCGCCGTTCTGCTGCTCCCCCGCAACAAGGCAGAGACCACCCGCCAGGGGCGCGACGAGCATCGCGCCTCGCGCGGAGCGGGCCCTGGTCGGACGTCTGCGCCTCGAACACTGGCTGGTCAGGGGCTCCCTCCTCCTCCCCCTCCTCCTCCTCCTCCTCCTCCTCCTCCTCCTCCTCCTCCTTCTCCTCCTCCTCCTCCTCCTCCTCCTCCTCCTCCTCCTCCCCCTCCTCCTCCTCCTCCTCCTCCTCCTCCTGTGCATCTCCACTGCTTGTGGCCCCGCCAGGAGGGCCGTGTACGCCGCCAGGCCGGGCCCACCCTGGGCCCGGGAGCGATGTACGTGCCTTCCCGGCCAGGCCCGGAGGGCGTGCGCACCGCCCCTGGGCCCAGGGGCAGTGGCTCTGCACAGATCCCGCCGCCCGAGGGGGAGGAGGAGGAGGAGGAGGAGGAGGAGGAGGAGGAGGAGGAGGAGGAGGAAGGAGGAGGAGGAGGAGGAGGAGGAGGAGAGGAGGAGGGAGGAGGAGGAGGAGGAGGGGGAGGAGGAGGAGGAGGAGGAGGAGGAGGAGGAGGGGAGGAGGGGGAGGAGGAGGAGGAGGAGGAGGAGGAGGAGGAGGGGGAGGGGGAGGGGGAGGAGGAGAGGGCAAGGCAGCACGGGCAGCGGCGGGAGAGGAGGAGAGCGGCCGGAGCTTCAGCCGTTTGCGGCAAGTTCGCGTCGTGCCGACTGGTGGCGACCCCGCCTGCGTCGTTCAACGTTGAACGTCAGCGGCGACCCAGAGTCGGTCGACGATGGACGGCTGGACGTTGCGGGGACGGCCGATCGTTCAAGGTTGAACGACCCACGCGGTGTCAGGAACCAACGCTGGGGTCGACACGACGCGAACCCGCTGAGCGGAGCCCCGCGAAAGCCATACGTAAGCCCACTATCGAGGGAGGAGCCGCGCAGGGGGGCGGAGATGGCCGCGGCTCGCGCGGCCAAGCCGGCCCAGACGGCTCGGGCGAGGGACGTCCGCGGGTCGGAGGCGAAGCAGGAGCCGCCACGAGTGCGCGAAAAGTTGTTCGTGGTTCGCGATTCGCGATTCATCCTCATCCTCCTCGCCCTCCTCATCCTTCTTCATCGGCCTCATCGCCCTTCTCATCCTCCTCGTCCTCCTCCTCCTCCTCCTCCTCCTTCTCCTCCTCCTCCTCCTCTTCCTCCTCCTCCTCCTCCTCCTCCTCGTTATTTAATCGCTTCGCTCATGCCGCCGGCCCTGGAGCCCTCTTTAGGGCCTCTTGGGGGCCTCTTGGGGACCTCTTGGGAGTCTCTTGGGGCTCCTTGGCGGCGTTTTGGAGGCCCCCAGGGCCTCTTGGGGGGCTCTTGGGGGTAGTCGATTGCGGCTCCCCCCTCGGAGGCCACGATCCTCGTGAGGGGTGTCGAAAAATACCCTCCCCTGGAGTGGTCTGGTGGCTTCTCCCGGGCTTCTCTCGGGACCTTGCCGGGGTACTGTTCGTCCGGGGGCCCCCAGGGGCCGCTCCGCGCGCGCGAACTAGAAATATTGTTAACAAGTTACCGGAGATCTTAGCACGCCTTTGGCCCGTTGGGCCGGCGAATTCTCTTCTTCCTTCTCCTTCTTAATCGGCCTCCTCCTCCTCCTCCTCCTCCTCTCCTCTCCTCCTCCTCCTCCTCCTCCTCCTCCTCCTCTCATCCCCTCCTCCTACTCTCCTCATCCTCCTCCTCATCCCTCCTCTCCTACTTCTCCTCCTCCTCCTCCTCCCCCTCCTCCTACTTCTCCTCCTCCTCCTCCTCATCCTTCTTCATCGGCCTCATCCTCCTCGTCCTCCTCGTCCATCTCCACCCTGTCGACCGCGAGGCTCTCCCAAGCCCGTGCCAGAAGGCGGCGCACCTCGGCGGCCGCGCCGCAAGGGCGGCGGCCGCGCCGCAAGGGTGCGCAGAGCGGTGGGCGCGAGAGAGGCGGAGCGGAGGAGCGTCAATGAGTCGAGCCAGGTGCCCAGACCCCTTCGCGTGTTGACAACATCGCGACTGACGACTGGAGGTGTTTCGCTATTTGGGGCCTCCAGGGGCCCCTACTAAGCCTCGGGATCATCAAAAAACGACTCAACATGAAAAGCCTGTCCCAGGGAAGGGATCCAGACCATTGGGGGTCGACGTCGCGACGTCGGGGGTCTGGGTGAGGACAAACGGCGCGGCGACATGCAGTCGGCCCTGATCAGTCGGTCGACCCTGCCAAATCAGGACTGCCCCTGTGTCCTGCGCTTCGCGACCCGTGCCTCCCGCACTCCTGCTGCAGTGCGGCCCTCGGAAGGGTCTCGTGTCCTCTGGCGTGCCCTGTCCAGCCGAGTCCGGCTGCGTGCGCAATCGGGAGGGGAGCTGCGCACCCAGGGGAGGAGGCGAGGGGGAGGGGCGGCTGCGTCCGGCTGCGTGCGCAATCGGGAACAGTCGAGTCCCAGTCGAGGCGGCTGCGTCCGGGGCGTCGAGTCCCAGTCGAGTCCGGCTGCGTGCGCCATCGGGAACACCCAGGGGAGGAGGCGAGGGGGAGGGGCGGCGCCGCCGCCCGGGATCCCAGGCACCCCCGGAGGCCCGGCAGGGGCCAAGAGCGCCCGAGGGCCTCCGCCCCGCGGCCCTTCGAGGGGCGAGGGCCAGCCTCGGCGCTGGGGGGAGGATTATTCTAGTATGGGGACGATGATTTCAGTATTGGACTCTTTTGTTTTATCTTTGGGCTATGTTTAAGGTTTCGTCAACAACAGCAAAACAACAACTAACAACAACAAAAAACGCCTGTAGGGGGTACATGCCCGACCTAAACTGGGGCCAAGGTCGCGGGCAGGGCAGGGAGTCAGTCGATTAGACGTAAGAGTGACCCTTCGCCAGAGTGGCCTTTGGTGCGGGCCCAAGGGGGGCCCCCCCCGATCGCCGGATGCGATGCGATAGCAGCAGCTTGCGCGCCTGGTGGTGTCCCCAAAGGGCCCCCCCTTAGGCCGCGCACCAAAGGTCACACTCTTGTCTGGAGTCACTCTTGCGGGCGGCCGAGGAGAGGAAGTCAGCATCGTCTGACCGATCCCATCCACGCTCGGCCACGGCATCTCGGCTCCGCCAGGTTCTAGGCCTCCCAGCTGGGGTCGGAGCATCGCGCCGCCTCGCCGATGCATCGGCGATACGGCTCGATGTGGACGCCGACGGCGCCGATGCATCGCCGACGTCACTGGTGCATCGCCGGTGCATCACCGATGCGGCGCTGTTCTTCGACCCCGTGTACCTCGACCCCAGCTAGGAGGCCTCTGCAGGTCGCCCGCCCAGGTGGGGATAGACGCGCAACATGTTACGCGCCCTGTTTGCGTTCTTATGCAACCTGGGGAAGGGTACACTCGATTTGCTTTCAGCCTGATGGTTTCGTTCGCTCGATCCGGTAAAGCTGGGGCTCCAGGCCATACCTGTCCGTGCTCGCCATGGTTTCCTCGATGGGCCAGGCGGTCAGGATAGCGCGAGGCTTCGGGAAGGGGCCCTCGGTGACCTCGTGTGTTTGGGTCGTTGTTTGTTTCGTTTGCTCTTCTCCTGCACGCCAGCCAATTCGCGTATCGGTCGCCCCGACCGTTGACCGCTGGAGCAGTTCTGTCTGTTGCCCCGCCGTCGACGAAACAAGTGTGGGTCGCTTTGCCGGCGCCAGGGTTCACTAGGGGAACGAAGAATGACATTAACATAAAAACTCTGAGGTCCGCGCGGATTTCTCGGATCGGCGCTGGACCCCCCTCCCTGGCGCGCAGAGCGCGCCAGGGGCGGCGTCGGAGGCGCCGCCGGGGGGGTCCAGCGCGGATACGAGACATCCGCGTGGACCTCCGAGTTTTTATGTGTCATTGTTCGTTCCCCTATTCACGTTCCCGTATCATGCTCTTCTGTCTTTGGTCCGATGGTATGCCCGCCTGGAGGTGTGGTCGGCCAGCAGGACCGCGGCCACGCTGCGGGGGGCGGGGCGGGGTTCCAGAAGGCCCCGTCCAGAGGAGGAGGTGCCCCTGGGCGGCTCGGAGGGCCCCGAGACGTCGGGCGGGTCTCAGCGACGGGGGGGACGCTGGGAGGGCTCCTCCCCACCCCCCACCGCGCGCCTTCTGCTCACCCGAGCCCGAGCGACCGCGAGGAGCGAGCGAATTCATCGGAGGGGACATCGAAGAGGCAAAGAGAAAAACAACCAAACTTCGAGTAGGGGATCAATTACAGAATTGATTTACCCCGAAATTGATGTTTCGTCGCATCTAGAAAGAAAAGAGTAAAACGCTCGTGGACTGCTACGTATTCCTTCGGCGATTCGGCGAAAAAAACACAGTTCTGGGGTGAATCAATTCTGCATTTGATTTCCTACTCGAGAACTGTCGGCGCTCCGCGCGGGTTTCTTGGCTCGGCGCTGGGTCTCCCCCCTCTCGCGGCGCCTCCGCCGCCTCCCCTCGCGGCGCCTGTGCTCGCTCCGCGCCCGGGCGAGGGGGACGCCAGGGCCGAGCCGAGCAAGTCCGCGCGGGCCTCCCAAGAGTTGATCCGCGCCTGATATTCGGTTCCTCGATCTCCGAGGGTTAAGAGGTACACACTGTTCATGTCTAAGCATTCGAAAATCCATTGATTCGTTTGGGAGCCAAGATCCTTTCATTTCTAATTGTTCTATCCTGGGCCTCTTCCTCGCCACTAGGGGGCCAGGAACAATTAGAAACGAGCACAATTAGAAATGAGCACGATTAGAAATGAACGGCGTGTAGCGCTAACAATCGGTCGGTGAAAGTAGGCATGTTTGGAATTCCCAGGCTCGGATATGCCTGAGGCGCCTTCCTGGTTCAAGCGTCGAGCGGCCTTCCTTCGTCAGTCCCCGTTCAGGGGACGGACGAAAAGCCGATCTACGTTCAACGCTTTCCCACTTCATGTTCCTACCTACTTGTTCCGACCGATGGGGACCGCTGCCCCTACCTCGTTGCCACGGCTGGACTCGCCCAGAAAAAATTGTCAGAACGCACCCCGGGAGAGGTTTTCAGAGTAGCGGTATAGGGGTATTTCTTGTTGCCCCAAACTAAACACAGCAAGGGATTTGTTTTGAGATGGGGGCGTTACAACGTGCCGCAGCGCCGCATCCGAAGCGCCAGATATGTTGGAGCATTGCGTGCGGCATTACTCGTACGAGGCTCGTGTAGCACTGCTGTCCTGCATCATAGTCGCACCCGCAGTGGAAGCCGTAAAACATGCACAGCACACGCTGTGTCTAGAGGGTGCAGTTACTGTGTGACGGCAAGCTTGGCGACAGTGTTGGCCCTTCGAGGTGATCTACTTCACAGGCCTTCCATTACTGTTCTTGTACAAGGAGGTTGAGGAGCGGGTCATCAATTGGCGAAAGACAGCCAAGGAGACTCTTGCATGAGGGGAGTATGTTGACCGTTGGTGCAGGACGAGACGTTATATGTGTGTATGTATGCATGCATGCATGTATGTCTGTAGGTATGTATGTGTGTATGTTTGTATGTCTGCTTGGCTGTCTGTCTGTCTGTCTGTCTGTATGTATGTATGTATGTATGTATGTGTTCATGTATGTATGTATGTGCATGTATGTATGCATGCATGCATGTATGTATGTATGTATGTGTATGCATGTACGTATGTATGTGTGTATGTATATATGCATGTATGTGTATACATATATATGTACGTAAGTATGTATTGTGTATGCACGTATGTATGTATGTATGGATGTATGTATGTATGTATGCATGTGTGTATGTCTGTATGTATGTATGTATGTATGTATGTATGTGTATGTGTATGTATGTATGTATGTATGTATGTGTGTATGGATGTATGTATGTATGCTGTATGTATGTATGCATGTGTGTGTATGTATGTATATATGTATGTATGTGTAGTTGTATGTATGTATGTATACATTGTGGTTTGTTAGTGTTGAGTGCATCGAGGCCGCGGGTATGAGTTTGGCAAGGGAGGGTTTGCACCCCATCAGCATGAAGTACAATTCGCAACCAAGATTCCTACGACATGGTGCTGTGTCGCTGGCAGGGATTGAGTGTGTATGCTGGATGTCCCCATAGTAGCCTAGAGAGTCTCGCTCGTACTTGCAATGTGTGCAAGGTACTTTGCCTTCGCCCGCAGGGTCCCGCTCATATGCCGTGTCCACCCCTTCAGTGTGCGCCAAAGTTTCTTGTTGTCGCCAGTAGGGCCCCGCCCTGAATTGGCATGTGTGCTGGACGTTTCCCGTCGACGCCCGTGGGGTCTTGTGCGTAAAGCCCTCTTTTGGGTTGTTCTGAGTTCCAGACTTCTGTGGTTGTCGCTCATGGGGCCCCGCCCATGCAGTGTTTGATTCGTAGGTCGATCTTGCAAATCAAGAAGAATCACCCTTGTGGCCTGCATATCGCCTCTCATGTCCTCTGCATCCTTGGGGTAAGGGTATTACGGTTTCGGGGACAGCTTGGGTCCTCTCGCGTGTCCGTTCCAATCGAGATACGGCCGCATGGCTCTGATTCCGTCTCACATCCGACCCCTGTTCATATCGATCCGATTCCCGCTCCGACCATTCGGAATGAATTTCGCCCACGCCGCGGCCTGACCCCTGGGCCCTGCGCGAGGCCGAGCAGAAAACGGCAGGCCAGGAACCCTTGCAGTAGAATCGTGGCGGATCGGAAGCCTCGAGCGGCCGCCTTCGATGGCGTGCCTGGGTTCGAGCAGCCGTCGGGCGATCCGGGCGGCCGTTTCTGGGCTCCTCTGGGCCCCGGCCCGCCCGGCGCTGCCCCCGCGGGACCGGGCCCGTCGCACCGGGGGGGTGCGCGGCCGCCTCGCCTCGCCTCCGCTCCAACTCGGCCGGGCGGCCCCGGGCTTCCTGGGTTCCGCGGGTGCTCCTGCGATGGAGGGCGTGGCGCTCCCGCGCCACAAGTCCGGGGGCGTCCTGCGGCCTCGGGGCTGGGCTTCTCGTGGAAGGTGCTTCGTGAGGTCGGGCCCCTCACTGTAGCCGCCATGCATGCCGGAGTGCGAGGTCGTCGCCCCGAGGGGGCCGCGCCCGCCCTGGGGGTCCCGCCCGCGGAGTCCTGCGCAGGTCGGCCAGGCTCCGCGTGTTCCGTGCCACCCTTAGCCCTCGACTAGACGTACGAGTGACCTTTCGCCGGAGTGACCTTTCTGGCGCGGGCCCCATGGGGTCTCCCCCGATCTCCGAGAACGCGAGGCGGCAGTGGCGTCCTGCGCCCTTGTGTTTGGCCCCCCCGCGGCCCCCCAAGAAGCCGCGCACCAAAGGTCACTCTTACCCAGGGTCACTCTTGTCGGCGCCGGGGGCGGGGGGGAAATGAGAAGGGGCGGGATTTCCGAGGCTTCTGAGAAGTTTCTGGACTTCTGAGAGGGCTTCTGAGAAGTTCTGTCTGCATTCGAAATAGGCCAAGGAGACCTCTCAGAAGTCCCCCGGACTTCTAAGAAGTCCCGCGGCCTTCAGCGAAGGCCTGCTCCTTCTCATTTCCCCCCTGGGCCCGCCGCCGATCTTGCGTGCAGCCGATCCGCGAAGAGTGGCTCGGCCAGGCCAGCTGCGCTGCCCGCTGGCAGCCCCTGCGCACGGGGCAGCCCCCGCGCGCCCGCCCGCCGCGCCCGCCACGCCGCGCCCGCCCGGTTTCCCCTCGAGGCCCGTCTCCGCTGTCGCCGCGGCTCCTCCACGCAGCCGCACGTCTCGGGGCTGGGCAGAGCCCCCAACAGCGACACGTCGATTAGTGAGTCGTCCGTTTTCGGTTCTCGAGAGGGCGCCGTGGCCGTTGTTTTCCAGGCTTGCGCCCGCCAGGTTTGGGCCTCGGGTCGTTTTCACTAAACCACGTTTTGCTAAAGGGAGGTCTGGCCATCCCCGCACGTCGCCGGGACGCCTCCGCCAGGCCCTACCCAGGCAAGCACTCTCGGAGGCGCCACCCGCCTCTGGACCCCACCTGTCCACACGGCGGCGACAGTACCACGGCGGGCTCTCCCCTTCTCGGCGGGACTCCTCCCGCCGAGGGGTGGCGGCCAAGCCGTTGGGCGAGGACGTCGGGAGGGCGAGGCCTCAGCGCATGGCATGTCTCGTCTTGCTCTGTTCACTGAGCGTTGCAGGGCCCCCTCGGATTGCCCGGACTGCCCAGCGGGCACGAGGGTCAAGGGCGTCCGTCCCTGGCTTCGGATGGGGCGCCCTCGGGCCCTTCGTGGCGGGGCCCTCCGCCGTGGAGCGCTCCTCGCGTGGGGCGTGCCTTCACGGGGCCGTGGCGCTCTGGCGAGAGGGCTCGTGCTCTCGACCTGCGTTCTTGTCACCACGGCTCGACGTGCACCCTAGAGCAGCTCGGTCGGCTTACCTCAGCGTAGCGAAGCGTCGCTCAGTCTGTGCTGGCTCAGCGTATCTCACGTTGGCTTGCTGGGCCTAGCCCTGCTCGGCTCAGCGTGGCTTCTTGGACTGAGCTTAGCAGCTGCTTCCCTCAGTCTCAGGAGCGCGGAGCCCAAACAGTCCAGGAATGAGCGTTTGTTGGGGTCCACGCGGTGACGTCAAATTCCAGCACGTGTGTGTGTGTGTGTTTGTCTTGCTGTTGCAAGTCTGTGCCATTCTAGGCCCAGCGAGAAGGCAGCCATCATTTATCGCATCGAGCTGAGGAACCCGTCGTCCAGGTATTCAGGTATTCAGTAGCGAATGTTGTGGAAATGGGCATGTAAGTTCAGTTCGACCCGTACCAGCATACACCAGGAGTTTCGATTGTTCGCGCTCCGCGTACCCTCATTGGCCCATCCAGAAGCATATCATTAGCGAGGAAAGGGAATGGAGAAGCCCAATGAAGCAAACAAGGAGGTACCAGTCCAAGCGAAGCTGGGATCTGCCCGAGGAGCCCAAAACACATGGTCAGCTTGAGACCCTCCAGGGGCGCCTCTTGGAGGGCTCTTGGAGCCGTGTTGGGGTTCCTTTCGGAGGTGTTTCCGAATTAGCGGGCCTTTCTGGGAGCCTTTCCGTGCCTCCCCGGTGCACTTTGGAGGCCATCGAGGATTCTGATTAACCCCCACCTTTCCAGGAGCCCGAAGATTTGCCTTTTGAAGCTCTCTCGGGGTGCTGTCGGTGGCTCCTGCAAGCCTTTCCAGACAACTCGGGGCCAGTTTGAGGTTCCAGAGGCCCGTGTGAGGCGGAAAGGCGATGCCTGAAAATCACTCAGGTCTTTCCAAAACAAAACAAAACAAAAATGGTCGCATCAAGGTGCTACGCATATGGCTGGTAATCGGGTCGGCTGCCTGGTTCTTCACCTGGTGGACGCCCGTGGGTGATTCTTGGGCGTCCCGCGCGCTGCCTAGACTCTCGGGCGTTCGCCTGGCGCGCGCCCGTGACCGCCTCGCGGGTGCACCGTGCGCTGGTTGTCGGCGACGAGCGAGGAGGGGAAGCGAGAAGGAGAAAACCTTCTCAGACGGTTCGGAAGTCCCCCGGCCTTCTGAGAAGTTGTCCAAGCCCTCCCCGAAGACCGAAAAACTCGTCAGAAGGCGCGAGGGCTTCGGAAGAGTCCCACCGCCTTCTGAGAAGGCCTCCGCCTTCTTGTTTCCCCCCTCGCCCGCCGCCGAGGTCGGGTTCTGCGGGTTTTCGCCCGGCGGGCCCCCGCGGTCGCTTCGCGGTCGCCCCGTACGTGGATTGGCTTTGATGGTTGTGCCCCATAGATGGCACCGAGTACACTCGGACCGAGGTGTAATATCGAGGTCGGCGTGGGGATGGTACACTACTGTTACCTATACTTGTTGGATATTATTGCGCATCTTGGGGAGGGTACCCTTGGATGTTCTATGCGTTTTGGCCGGCGTATGGTCCCATGTTCTTGAAGGATGTTATTCTGTCTCAGGTCCGACCGTAGAGGGCGTCTCACAGCGTGCACCCCACAAATTGCATTACATAGATGGGACCGCGCTGCTTACACCACATAGCTTACACCGTATGGTTTGCGCCACGCATACTGCACCACATACGTTCTCCTTGTAAAAGACGAGTACATTCGACAACCCCCTCCCCCCCAGACTTATCAGCATTCCCTGGGGCATTGCAAATTACATATGGTCCTGCCTCGTCTTTCACTTCCCATGCGAAGTTGGACCATCCCAGCCAAACCGGCATCCCGGCCCCCTGACTCTTGCCAAATAGCAGCATGCGCGCACACTCGCGCATCGCAAATGGTCATTCCCAACCATCATGTGGTGTTGGGTCCTCGTTTTGAAGAGAACGTTCCGCGTTCCTCTCCTTCCTTCCGTCCTTCCTTCCTCCTCCCCTCCTCACTCCTCCATCATCATCGTCATTACCCGTTTCAGCACACCCCTCGCACAATTCGTGGCCCCACAGGGAGCTCCACCGAAGGTCCCAGTGCTACCGCCCGCACGCGTCCCCTC